TCCTGTCCCGAAAAGGAACCCGGAAGGGAAGTCTGAACCCCCAGATCCATTTCCGCCGCTGGTTTTGTTTTGAGTCGCTGCCGATATGCGCCTACGCCTGCATGAAAACAAAAACGAGCGGGGAGTGAGCTCTGTGGTTGAGGCGCTGCAGTAATGTGGACGCCTGACCACCAGGCAAGCAGGCGGGCAAAACGCCCCAGGGTGTGCTGTCTGGTTGGTCTGCCCAGCAACACTTTAAACCAGTACAATGAGAGATCGCAGCAGGCTCCCAGTCTGACCACAGCCTGAGGCTGTTATGCAGAGGGCGGCAATGGCAAACCACCTCTGTTCCTCTCCTGCCTTGAAAACCCCAGGAGGTCGAACTTCATGAGATAGTCGTGACTCTACAGCACCCTTTACCTTTCTCACATACCTGCAGTTTCTGGACCTGGGCCAAACGCACTAAGAAAATGGACTGTCTAGCACTTGCAGTCCTAAGAACACTTCCCCGGGACTAAGCCTCCTTGACTGCATGTAAGATTCTGAAAAGATGGAATTTATTATTCATTTTGCTGTGGTTGTTGTCTTTATCCTGCCCATTTTAATGCTGTTACTTTTTATTGGTGTAGGGGTTAAGAGCAGTGCTCCCTCTAAGCTGCGGAGTCTTGTGAGCAAAAATTCTACCTTGTGAGCTCCTGGCATTAAAGCTGTGAGCGAGCGATTTGGCTACTGCATAAATTAGTTTCCTCTGGAGCCATCCTTCCTGAGCTGAGACAAAAATGTGTGAGCCGGATGCTAAAAAACTGTGAGCTAGCTGACACTAACTCAGCTTAGAGGGAACACTGGTTAAGAGCACGGACTCTATTCTGGGAGAACCGGGTTTGATTCCCCACTCCTCCACCTGCAGCTGCTGGGTGACCTTGAGCAACCCACAGTTCTCTAAGAGCTGCTCTCGAAAGAGCAGTTCTCAGCCCCACCTACCTCGAGTCACAGGCTGCCTGTTGTGGGGAGAGAAAGGGAAGGAGATTGTAAGACACTCTGAGACTCTGAGTGAAGGTCGGGGTATAAATCCAATCTCTTCGTATTATTATTGCTGTTGTTCCTTAATATGATTTATACTATCTGTCCAAATAAATTTTATTTTATGATATGTTGCCATAAGTGTCCCCATTGGGGCCGAAATGTAGCACCTAAACATCTGAAATCAATAAATGGATCTTTGTGTGTTCAAAAATATAAACTACGCTCCCCCCAAAAAAAAACTTAGTAGCTTTTTAATTGTCCTGAAAAGCTCTGTTGGGAGAGCTGCGATTTTGACCAAAGGAGAGTTGAGATGAGGGGGTATTTAACCCCCCATTCGTTATCCCACACCAAACTGCGTTTTTCCTCTCCTGGCATCCAGATGTGGAGCTGCTTTCTTTTCCTTTCCTTTTTTTAAGGAAGGGCTTTGTGGCATCAACGTGCCTGTAACATGTAGCTTGCCCCTTAACCCCCCTTGAAATCAAGGCAGCTTTCCTTTTTAACTGTGAACAAGATCCAAAGAGGCAGTTTAGGCACACCCAGCTGAATCCCCCACCCCCGCCCCTTGAACAGGAGGCCCTCTCCTCTCCCTGGCTCAGCCGCAAAAGCGGTTTGCCGGGCAGGCAGGAGACACTGCAGCCACTGAAAAGCTCCCCCAAACCTGCCTCGGGTACATGGAAGTCGTCGCGGAGTTCCTTGGGTGCCAGCCTAGGCATTTCGCTGCATCTTGGCTTTCTTTGGATTACATCCATAACTGATCTCTTTGAGGGTCAGGCTACTTGAAGGCAATGCTCCCTCTAAGCTGTGGGTTCTTCGGAGCAAAAATTCTACTTTGTGAGCTACCGGCATTAAATTTGTGAGTGAGCGATTTGGCCACAGAATAAACTAGTTTGGTCTGGACTGGAGCCATCCTCCCTGAGCTAAGACAAAAATGTGTGAGCTGGAGGCTAAAAAAACTGTGAGCTAGCTCACACTAACTCAGCTTAGAGGGAACACTGCTTGCAGGGGGGATCTAGGGGCTTATCCGCATGCTCTGTTTACCTGATTTTAAGAAGAGTTGAACTGTGAAGCTTGGATTCGGTTTCTGGGCGGCTGATTTGCACCCTTTCTTTTGCTCTGGAGTTTTGATCTGTTTCTAGTCACTTAATTGTGGTGTAGTTATTCTGCATAAAAGGAGCTGCGGTGGCTCAGTGGTTAAGATGCTGAACTGCAGGCTGGAAGGTCGGTAGTTCAGCAGTTCGAGACCCGAGTGCCGCATGATGGAGTGAGCTCCTGTCTCTGGCCCCAGCTCCTGCCAACCTAGCAGTTTGAAAGCAAGACATTGCAAGTAGATAAATAGGTACCACTTTGGTGGGAAGGTAACAGCGTTCCGTGCACCTCGGCGTCTAAGTCATGCTGGCCACATGACCACAGAGAAGTCTTCGGACAGCGCTGGTTCTTCAGCTTGGAAACGGAGATGAGCACCACAACATTAAAGTTGGATTCGACTGGCTTTCGAGCAAAGGAAACCTTTACCTTTACCTATTCTGCATAGGTACCATAAAATTCAGAGTTTTCCTCAGGGGAGGGGAACATCACCCATGACATGGTGGGCGGTATTGCAGCACAACCCCCTTTTTCTGCATGTGCGTGTGTGTTCTAGCGCTGCTGCACAGTTGCAGTAACTGTCCCGTTCCTCAGAGCCTGACTCCCACAAGTTCTTTTATAATTGTGTATGGACTTCAGCGATAACGTGCTGAGTTGTGATGTGGAATTTAAATGTTTTCTGATTGGGTGTGATGATGTTTTGAAAAAAGGATCACCATGGTTTGATTTGCACTAGTCCATACATACAGGTAGAAGGTGAACAGCAAATTATCATACGGCTCACCCTCTGCCTATGTGTATGGACTATGTGTATGGACTGGTAACTTCAATTTCAGTGTATCTGAGGAAGTGTGTGT